TGTTATGATTATTAACATTATTATTGCGGTCATAAGAACTGTTATTAGCACGTCCGGAATCATGAGTAGATCGATCTTTGGATTTTGAGCGAGATCGGGAGCGAGAACGTGTATTAGCAGCATTAGAGTTGGAGCGGCGAGGTTGATTGACATTAAATCGTTCTTTGAGTTTTGCTACAGGGTCGCGAGTGCGACTTCTACCTCTGGTTTGTTTTAGTGGGCAAAAATTTGGAGCGCAACCTAATTTGCCACATCTGTGACAAAGTTTATTGGTATTATCTGGGGAGAACCAGAAAAGCACTTTGCCTTGGAAGCTGACAGTCTGTTCCATAGCAGCATCCATGGTTTCTTGGGAGTTGAAGGTGACGTAAGCCCATCTTTTGGGTTTGTAAGAATTTAAAGAAAGTGGAACATTGACAGCCTTAGCGCCAAGGTCACGGGTAAGAGGAGCCAAGTTGATATCCTTAACATTGGGGGGAAGTTGAGTGAGGGTGGCAACGTATTGACGGCACGCAGCCTTTTGATCCACAGTATAGAAACAAAGAGTAATTCTGAGGCAGGTGGAGAAACAGTACACGGACCATTGGTCGGTAAAAAGAGCAATTGAATCGGCGTGATAATACACAATGCGGGCTTGCTGAACTTTGGCATTAGGCCTGGAGAAGAGGCGGCAAGACGTGATATTACCAAATTTTTTAAAATAAGCCATGAGGTTGTCTTTATTAATGAAGAAAGGGATATAGGTAACTTGGATAGCCAGGAGATCTTCATTAGATCGGAGTTGGCGAGGGTCATGTGCATGAAAGATTAAGTCAGGGAATTCAGGATGAGTGGAACCAACGCACAAATCGCGTGCTTCAGCGGTATGGAAGTGGATAACGAGGCGTTTGGCTTCACCAGAGCCAGTCATATGTGCTTTTCCAGTAAACGACTCGTAAGTTTCTAAAAAAAGGTTATTAACAGCCTCAATAAGGGCTTTATTGGTAGGGAATTTCTTGAGAGATTCAGGGGCAGCATTCGGCGCAGCCGCAGCCTAAAAATCATCTCTGGTTATGGCGAGGGTCACCACTGGATCTGGAGTTTGATCGTCATCTGGAGCACCATTGGTATCCAAATTGGGTGACGCGTTAGGGGGTTGTTGCAAGTCTTTGTTCGAAGGTGCATGCATGGACGCGTCCACATTTCCAGAAGACGCGACGTGACTGGGCGCAGTTGGCGCAGCAGATTTTTTCAGGGAGGAGGTCAAAGTATTTTCGCCAGAGATATTTTGTTGAGGAGAAGAGGAAGGTCCATCTACTCCAACGTCAGCCGTCTGGTCATCAGCAACGTAGTCTTCTTCCATAGAATTTTCGGTAATCGTGCGATTACGTTTCTGCTGAACAGTGTTTTCACCATCGGAGCTTGAGTTATCAGAGTTATTATTATTTTTTCGTTCTTGACGGGAAGCTTTCCTACTGTTAGGGTTATGACTTCCACGGCCTCTCTTAGCATAGTTACCAGACATAGTAGAGGGCTTTGAGTTGGGAATATATAAAATATAAAATTTTATTAGTAGCTTGTATTATTTTTAAAAAATAATAAAAAAATATTTTCGTCGGAATTTTCGTTTTTGAAAAATTCAGGAGAGAGTTACTACTGGTCAAAAACCAGGCAAACGTGGCATAGTAGCCTTTATCTTTATTAAAATTATTCGAACTTATACATTTTACAAAAAAATAAAAAGAAAGATAAAAATAAAACTAACTAAAAACAAAGCTATATAGTCTCCTAAGAAAAAATAAAGTAAAAAATTAATCTAAAAAAGAAAAATCGCATTACACTAAATTTCCCCAGATCTTCCCCCTTGATATATTCCAACCAAAGTAGAAGCAACTATGCTAACAAAATAACAAATAGCGCGCCTACTATAAAAATCGACACTCCATCCTGCAAAAGCTGTTATTAAGTAGCACCGTTAGATGACCCATAAAACCCGAAAAGTGATTAAACCAAGGCAAACCATATTTCATCGAGTTCTTCAACCAATCGGTTCCGGAGTCACGAGAAACGTGTAGGGTCGGAGGTGGTAAAGATGAGTAAGGTATGTAC